CTCACCTTCTTTGAGGTACAGTACTAATTTTTGTGTACTGTTGGGTGCAGCTACTGAGAAGGGCTACCCTGATCCTCTGGCTGCAGACGTTCTTCTCATTCACTTGTTTGCCAGGTAAAGTGCAGGGCTGTAGAACTCACTCTGACTTGATGTTGTTTGTGCTTTGCTTTTTTTTTTAGAAAAAGCCTAGATATTTTGTAGTTTGCTACTTTAGAAAGATTTGGGCTGTCTTCTATTAAAAAAAGTAATTACTTTTCACTCCCTTACAATCTATTTTATCATGTATTACCAGGACATACCTAAAATACTGTGAGTAGGAAAGTTTTCATTAAAAGTATAAGACTTATTTTCCTTCCTGGTTTCCCAGAGATGAAATCCACCATTTTTCAGAGCATGCTGTGAAAATCCTATTTTCTAAGGCTATTCAGAGAAAAGGCAATTTAAACTTGGTGCATTTCAGTGTGGGCTGTTATTGTTTGAAATAGAGTTTTAACATTAAGTAGAAAATTCATATTTAAAGAGATTGGATTGCATTAAATTATGATACTCATGTTACTGATGATACTTGGTGTTTTGTTTGTATTTCTAATATTTGTTTCAGCATCTGAAACTAAGGCAAGATTCGAGTAAATCTAAATAACTAAAATCTTTCTCAATGACATCTTGGTTGTTGAATCAAATTGATACTTAATTTTTTTCTCAGGTAGTAAAATATAAGACTTTTTTCCAATTATGTCCCTTTTTTCTTCTACACCCTTTTTCCCCTGACTATAATTTTCTTTATCAGTGGTACAGTAGTGCATATTTGCTCCTGAAGTGAGTGTTCCCAATGCTAATTTCATGTGCTATTCTGAGATTCTTCTAAGAGTTTTTCCTATCTTCACTTTGTGGGCAAAGACTGGTAAATACTTAAATATACTAATTTTCAAATTAGTCTGTTCTTGAATTGAGCTGTATTTTTAAGTTTTCCTTAATTTTTCTCTTTTTTTTTTTTGTTGTTGTCATTATTATGTTTTTTTAACTCTATTCCAAAGTTCCTCAAAATCATCCATAATTGTTTGTAAACAGCGTTACCCTACTGCAGCTCCAGATGTGTATTTCTGTTCCTTAATCTCCAGTTCAGGTTGCATCACTGTAAGGCCAGAGCAAACCCTACTCAATGAAAGGCTCATTTTGCTTTTCGTTGACACAAAGTTAAGAGGTCTTTTTCTTGTGTTTTGGAGAGATATTTCATCAAGAATTACCTGAGATAAAGATATCCTGGCATAAAAACCTAGCCTAGAAATGGCTAACAGTTTGACTTTGAATTCCTGTTCAAAGTTCACTTGTTTTATATTTCTCAGTTCATTCCAGTAAGCTTTTACTTCTGAATGGTGGTGGCAGCTATCATGGGGAAAAAGGCTCCTCACACAGGAAGAGAGTCTTCACAGGCAACCAACCCCAGTCCCTTGGAGACTTGAAAATCAAACCTCATCTGTAACTTTTTAGAGTGCAAAGGAACGTATTTCCCTCTGGTCCTGTTTCTCTGTCCCCTCATTAACTTCTTCAAAGAACTCTGAAGATATAGGGAAGTGCTTTCTTCCCCTTCACTGAAATTAGGTGGCTTGTCCCTATCAACTTTCCATACAAGTTTTCTAATATTCTGATGAGCACAGAGATGGATTCTTCAATGGTGGACATTGATCAGATCAGGCCCAAAGTCACTTTATCTGAGATATTTCTGCTTGAAAGGGCAGTAGAACTTACCTACAGGATGGAAGATCTAAGTGTTATACACGTATGTGAAGGCTTCTGGTGAAACAGATGAAATTGTAGAAATTATAGAAGAAAAAAATGTCGTATTCAAAATACTGGCAGCATGGCTAATCAATCCTTTTGCCTTCAACGAGGTGAGAATATAACACCAGTAACTAAGATTCTCTAAGAAGAGAGCTTTGTTCCTATCAGCTCAAATACAGAACATTTATCAGTTTAATATCATTGGTTTGTTCTTTGTTTTTAACGAAAGGACTAATAGACCTAGATAGTCCATGGAGTCTGATTCTATTACTGAGTAAAAGATTCCACTGCATTTGGTGAAGGCATCCTGGCTTCTGGTCTCTGGATTTATACGGAACTGCTCTTGGGAGCACCATTCTCATCACAGACAGTGGGCAGGATACCTGAATTTGAATGTCCTCAGATTCACAGCTTCTGGATCTTAACAGGGTCTACATGGGAGCTGGGTGTCTCATCTCTTAAAATTTGTATGCAAGAAATGCTTTCAGACATTAAATCTGTATTGTTCTGGGGAGCTGAAGGTTAATAAAGAGAAGAAAAATGCTCAGCAAGTTTGAGGCACTTAAGGATCTGAAGGGAGCTATTTTGGGTCTTGATTCTACACCCTAAAGAGACAAGGGTGTCTGGGTGTAACACATCGTATTAAACTTTGAAAAAATGAAAGTATGTACCTTACCTAAGTAGTTCACCTGTAGGATTAGAAGATAATTCTCATACAGATTGACACAAATAAGGTCTATGCAGAAAATACATTTTCTTTATTAAAGATACATTGGGCTTTTTTAGTCTGTCTCTATTTTCCAACCATTGCACTTGAACCATTTGCACTGTATTGACCTGCTCTGAGCCTTTAGGGAGGCTGTTAAAATCTGTGATGTGAACCCTCAGAAGTGTCAAATATTAACAAGTGTTCTTTGCCCTGCTGGTGCTGAACGTTGATTTACCTCAGGCATCAAGAAACCAAGAGAGCTCATTTGAAATTGTTGCCTTTCCTGTTCTCTCCTATGGTGGATAAGCACGTTGAAATGCCTTTCCTCTAGCTATTCAGCTTTATATAGGAACTTGCATCACCCTCATCTTCACAGTAGCAGGATCCCACTCAGTAGCATCCTAGTCGATGTGACTGAGATGTCTCTCCTGTGGTTCATGGTTTCTCTCATCCTGTCACCACATAATGGCGGAGACCCACCAGGAGCTGGCAGCTCTTGTGGGAGACGCTGATGAGGCCCAGGCATTGCCAGAGCAACTGTGACCGTCTCATGCCTATAAAAAGCAGCCCTGCCAAGAAGAACTTGGGGGTACTGGTGGATGAAAACCTGGACATGAGTCGGCAACATGTGCTGGCAGCCTAGAAAGCCAACCATATCCTGGGCCACACCAAAAGAAGCATCGCCAGCAGGTCAAGGGAGGTGATTCTGTCCCTCTACTCTGCTCGGGTGAGACCCCACCTGAAGTACTGAGTCCAGCTCTGGAACCCTCAGCACAGGAGGGACAGGGACCTGATGGAGCAGATCCAGAGGAAGGCTAGAAAAAAATGGTCAGAGGGCCAGAGCACCTCTCCTGTAAGGACAGGCTGAGAAAGTTGTGGTTGTTCATCCTGGAGAAGAGAAGGCTCCGGCTTTCAGTACTTAAAGGGGCCTGACGGGAAAGATGGGGAGCCTGTAGCAATAGGACACTGGCAGGAAAGATGGGGAGCCTGTAGCAATAGGACAAGGGGTAATGGTTTTAAACTTAAAGAGGGAAGAATTAGAGTAGATAAAATAAATGTTTTACAATAAGGGTTGGGAAACACTGGAACAAGTTGCCCAATGAGGTGGTAGATGTGAACCTTTCAAGGTGAGGTCGGACGGGGCTCTGAGCAACTTGATCTGGTTGAAGATGTACCTGCTCCTTGGAGGGGCTGTTGGACTAGATGACCTTTAATGGTCCCTTCCAACCCACACTGTTCTATGATTTTATTTAACTAAAAATATTGGCTCCCAAAATTCATAGAGAAAAAAATAGTCTTTCTTTACAGCACTTCTCGTCTACTCTGTTGTCCTGTTGTATGAAAATAGCATATCAAAAGTCATCTCCTAGATTATCTCTTTATTTATCGTCTCATTCCTGAGCGCTCTTTGGTTATGGGGCAGCTACAGGGGATCATAAGTGCCCGTGGCTGTCTCAGTAGAAGGTTCAGCATTAGATGAGCTGAACCACCTTCTGAAGTTGCTAGTGTCTCTCTAGCTTAGGCAGACTGAGCATTTGTCTAAGCTCTCCTGTGACGGCTCTATAAGTCTATTTAACTAAAAATATTGGCTCCCAAAATTCATAGAGAAAAAAATAGTCTTTCTTTACAGCACTTCTCGTCTACTCTGTTGTCCTGTTGTATGAAAATAGCATATCAAAAGTCATCTCCTAGATTATCTCTTTATTTATCGTCTCATTCCTGAGCGCTCTTTGGTTATGGGGCAGCTACAGTGGATCATAAGTGCCCGTGGCTGTCTCAGTAGAAGGTTCAGCATCAGAACTTCTGAAGTTCCTAGCGTCTCTCTAGCTTAGGCAGACCGAGCATTTGTCTAAGCTCTCCTGTTACGATCCTTAAGTTAGGTGGGATGAACCTGTATTAAAGTATTAATTAACTTGTCACAGAAAAGCATGCCTTTAAAAAGAGTGGGATGCTCAATGAAGGAAAAGGTGCTTACTGTAAATTATTTATAAAAATCATGACCCGTTATTTCCCTCACAAACATGTACAAATATTGTTTCTCATAGTTTGTTTGGTTTTGTGTTGTTTGAGTTTTTTAATAGACTGAATATTATGGTCTTATCACTTTAAAATTCTTAATAATGTTGTACAGTCCATATATTTGTCTTGCTATTTGTTCATTTCACTTACAGGTATTTATGGAACCATTTATATAACAAACTGCTAGGAAATGATTGTTTTCATTATCATTCATCAGTATTCTGTGTGGATCCCACTGAAGCACGGTGGTTTGGACAATACACCACAGTTTATCAATGAATGAGCTGAGTTCTTAAATGAGTAACTGATTTCTTTACCTTTGCAATGTACAGGTTGTTCTTCACAACTGACAATCCTCATCAGTAGGCTGCACGTTTTACTTAATACTGGGAAAACACAGCATGCATATGTTGATGCAAGTTCCTTTTACAGCTTGATAATATGCTTTGATTTATCACTCTCGTAAGCTGTCGTGTTCTTTTTTCTCCCTTAGGGATACGATGATGGATATGGGGGTGAATATGATGATCCAAGCTATGAGGCATATGATAACAGCTATGCCACCCAAACACAAAGGTAAGAGTTTGTACTTTAATGTTGCAAAGAACACTTTTGTCTCTTAGCCTTTCAAGTAGATTTCCTGCTTAATTTTCCACATTAAATTCTACAAAATCTCACAGTACTTTAAAAAGCTGACAAAAAGTAGTAATGGTATTCAAAGTTTATAGGCAGAATTCTTTAGATGAAGCAAAAATGCAAGTATCTATCCTTTTAAAATTGGTGCAAACTAAGTGTATTTTTTTAAAATAAGCAAGTGGTTACATCATTTTCCTATCTGATGTCATTTGTGCTTTTTTTTTTTTTTTGCTTTACTGGTGTGAAGTTGTCAAGGACATCTCATATTTATGGCTTTTACAATGTTTTGGGCAAAACCAGTAGGAAATAAAAAAAATAATGATGGTAAATACCTGCCACTGTTGGCATCTATCATCAAGGTGAACTACAGAAGGGAAATGCATGCCTGAAGTAAAGCTGAAACTATCTGTTTTCAGCCAGTTATTTTCTCAGCAGCTCTCAGAATTGGTAAAAGCAACCAAGTTTGGAAATTTATTTTATGTCCTGACTGCGTGCAATAATAGGGAAAATGACTTTCACATCTTTTATGATTTGTGTCACGGAGGCAAGGCAACAAAAATGATCCCTTTTTATGTACTCATACACCACACACACTCATATATTAATTTGACAGTTGGTCCATGTTTATAAAATATGGAATGACATCCTTTTCATAGATAAGTTGAAGAATAAAAGGGTTTGGCTTCAGCCAATTATTCAGAAAATGTTCTTATGGGTTGCTAAGAGTACATACGAGATTGTGGAAAAGCAAATGAAATTTTAACAAGAAAAGACAGATTTTAACTGAGTATGATTCTCACTGGGCAAGAAAGCAATGTATATGTATAGATTTCTGCACTGTAAAGACTAAAGGACCTTAAATTTGCTTTTTGTTTAATCATCTTTGATGTTGAATGCTTTGCTGGTTAAAATACCTGTCAGAATTGCTTTCAGCTCCAGAACTGTTGTAGTGAGTGGCAGCTGAGCTGATAAAAAAAATACTTTGTAAGTATTTTTATAACAAGTGAAGAATATTTCAAAGGATTTATCACACCTAAATGTGAACCCCATCAAGTATACTTTAACTGCACTTTTAAATAATTATATATTACTGGCTTCACCCATCATGTCGTTGTGTAGGTAGATATTCTTGTTGTCAAATGTACTCGAACTTTTTTGAAAAGAATTCATCCCATCTTTTGCTATAATAGTGAATTGTCACAGTAGACATTGCCTCTAGTGTAAAAATAATAATTATTTGGAAACTCTCTGCTGTGACATTGCTTTATAGCATCTGAATTAACCGCTAATTTCTTTGCAAGTTGATGTCTCAGGCAACTAAATGACAAATATATCAAGTTTATGAGGAGTGTATTATAATCAAGCTAGAACTGGCGGTGATAATTTGACTCAAGAAACAAAACTTATAGAGAGTCACATAATTTTGTCAATTACACAGCTATTAAATTTAGTCATCGGATGTGTTTTTTCATAAATGTGAGCTACCTCCACGATACCTAATCCATTTAAAATCTGCAACTAAAACGTTTTGTTTTTATAATATATGGCAAGACATGCAGTCATGCTTATCCATGTTGAGTGGCACTGAATGACAGAAGTAGTCTATTGATTTCAAAGAGAGCACTTTTGGAACAACACACTACTTATTTCAAAGATTTAAAGAACAAATGGACCATTAAATATGCAATTTGGATTCCTGTACCTTATTGGCCATTTAGCTTCACAGAAATGCCTCCCTACTGAGCCAAAATAATACAATACAAGAAAAAGGTATGACCAAATATTTGGCTAGGTGTATATACGAAAAAGTTCTCTCCCAATCTCAGATCTTGTTATTACTATACTCCAATCATAATGAGCAAGACATATCATGCACACACCTAACAAAGAAGAAAAGTTGTACTGCTTCAGAGTACTTATTCCTCTCATCCAGTGTGTGATCTACGGGGAAAAAAATCAACAAAATCTAGTAGACAGTACCTGTGCTCAGAGAGAAAAATGTTACTACCCTCTTCAGGGACTGACTGAAATTCTAAAGCATGAGATGAGAAAAAATTTTAATCAGTGGCTTAAGGCAGAACTCCAAGATTCCTGTTCATGTTGAGTTCAGCATGATTTAGAGCAGCACACATATTAAGTTGTACCTTGTTCTCCTGTAGGCTTCCACCACCACCCCTGTTACCTATATCTTTGTCTTCCAGACCTTATATCTACTTCCCATTTGCTCACCAGAGGCTTTCTGACCAGATGTAGTTCCTTCTGGGGACCCTTAATTCCGCCTTCCCCAAGTGGTCTGATTTAAACTTTTTATAAATTAGTGTCTGCCAACAGCAGAGAAAATGAGGATGCTGTCAACATGCACCACGGTGCTACAGCATGGGATTATGGTTTAGTAGAAGGAGCACCAAAAATACCCATTCTCAGGAACATCCAGCTGCAAATGGAGATAAACCCTGTCCTTCTGTGCACAGTTAACTTAAGATTTGTAGTAAAGGTCAGGGACAGTGTTGCAGGCCCAGCAATATGTTTTGTATAGGTCCTTCTCTAAAGAACTCTACCACTACCACGCTTCCCGACAAAGATCTTTGTCCTTCATCAGAGCAGTCTGATTTTCAGGCTGAAAATAGGGGTTTAGGGTCACTTGAGGAAGAGACCATGACAGAGTCTCGAGATCAGACTTGAATAAAACCCACAATTAGTCTGCGTGGCAGAGAGGATCTGGAAGACCTGCTTCTCTGGTTATTCAGAAGTTGGTAGGGAATCAGACTGTACCACATGCAAAGCGTGGCCAAACTCCTCAGCCAAGACCAACAGAATAATTTTGTGGATCAGTTGCTGGTGAATCAGCTGAGAACCTTGACCACGGGCAGAGCTGTCTTCAGCTCTGCTACCGCCTCTGTAGTCATCTCCACTGACCTTTGTGTCTGTGCCAGCACCGACAGTTTCATTTCAAAGGTATCATGTCTCAGCCAAAAGAAATACTAAGGAAAGCTGTGGCTGACTGGCCAGTCACCAAAACCAGGAAGGGTATGTTCTATTTAACCCATAACCTATCCAGCCATATGCAGTGTAAACAGTGGTCTGACAGGGAAAAGCAAAGGAAATCAGTTGAAGCTTAAAATTTGGCTTTTATATAATTTTCCTGTTGCACAATGCCTGGCATGAACACTCATACATCAATCAGCTCTGTTTTTTTGTGAACAGGTAGTTGGTATATTGGCAATGGCTTCCAGGGCTGTTGGCTGGCTTGGTCTTCTGTCTTTTTTTCTGTCTGGCTTTTGTTAAAAACACAGTTCAGCTGCAAAATTAGTTGCCGAGTGGGTGCTTACTAAAGAAAGAAGAGTCTGTGACTCCCATCCTAGGCTGGAAATAGACTTGCAAATATCAGAAAACCTGTGACATACTGACAAGAGGAATAAATAATTCAGTGACAAAAGATAGATGAAAATAGTGCAAAACATTACTGTTACAGATGTCTTCCCACAGTGGCACAGGCCTTCTCATGACATAGCTTCACCTATACTGTGGCTGCAAGAGGACTCAGGTAAAGGGCATTGTTTTGGGACAATGACTTCTGGTCAGTCTGTCAAATGCACACTGCAAAGCCCTCCTGCATCTGCTAAGCAAACAACTTCGGTTCTGATTCACAAACGCATCCTAAAGGTCATCTGAACTTCCTCTCTAAGAAGCTAATGGTGATATAGAATCTAAATCTTAACATAAAGAAAGATGTCATTAATACGTCCAAATAAGTTCTAAGTTTTTACATGATCTGGAGACTTATGCACATTGAGTTAGATAACTGCCAAAATGAAATTATCTTAGAGGACTGAAGAAGAGAGAAAGGGAAGGTGCAGTATGAGAGAATTTCAAGCTGACTGGCATAGCTTTCATATAACTGAATTATATTTAATTCAAAAGATATTATTATCTGTGGTTCATACCTATAGCTGTGCTCTCATGTGCAAAGTCCCCCTGGGCTTCTGTTTCTCAGTGCTAGTAACAAAAATATAATGAGAAAAGCAAGTTTCAGGACATACATGCTGCCCATGTCCTCTTAGCTGCTGTGGCAGATAGTTGCTGTGGTCATATCAGCGTAGTTGTATCTGAGTAACCATGTGTTCATAGCAATATCTATCAATTCAACCTTTAATAGGCTCTACAATTCCGATTCACATTCTTATAATGACTCGGACCCACTGAAACTTTCAAGAGCACATTCAATCACTGAGACTGAATATATGACTTTGTTTTCCTGATTATTTTTGTTTCTGTTGTTAAGCTTCTGCTATCTACTGTATAGCTTGTGTTTACAGCTCCTTTTTCTGTGTGGGCTGCTAGTACAGGGGATTTAGGGATCACTTATTTCTGATCTGGTATGCAGGAATATAGCATGGACCACGGTTCACTTATGTGGCTTAGGGTACAATTGCTTCAGTGCAGAGACATGCTGCACAATGATTTAGGAAGTAAAGCAAAGAATATTTTATCCAGCTGAATCTGTAGGTTTTATTCACATCAGCAGTGTATATTTGCCTGAGCTCCAGTCCATCCTGGTTACCCTTGCTTGACCTCCAGATATCAAGTCTTTATATCTACATCTGTTCCCAAAGGTGACTTTTTCACAAATAGGTGAAAATAACACTTTCAGACTAGTACACTTGTCTCCAAAGGTGACTTTTTCACAAATAGGTGAGTAAAATAACACTTTCAGACTAGTACACTTGTCTTTACGAAGCAGTACAAAGTTCTGCTGGGCATACATATTCTTTGATGGACCCTACCCAATGGACTACTTTTCTCTCCAAGCTCTTTTTGGATTCAACAAAAAATTATGGCCTTATGTTTCAGTAACAGAAATTTAGTATTAACATTAGGACTAGAGTGTTCAGTAGTCTCCATCACCATAGCTTTTCAAACCACATTAGACAAATTTCAGTAAAGAATCATGTAAATAAATTCATGTGTTTATAGGTAGATGAAATAA